CTTCGCGATCGATTTTGCTTTAACGAGAGCGTTACGCGCAGGATCCATAATTCATTCTTATATTTGGAATAATAAAAAATAAAGTTGTATTTAAAGAGCAGGAATTCAGAAGGTTCTAAAATGGAAGCAGCCGATAAAATCTCATTTGCTCTTTTATTCCGAAACGACTTCGCCCCAATTAATTGAGAAGAGATCTAATATAAAAAATACGACGAATGATAAATCATTCCTCTCAATCCGTGGACGACAAGTAACAGCCTTTCCCGAATCTGACGAGTCCACGTGTGAAAGACCGTTCGCAAAATCCGGCCGAGCCGAAAGAACAGCCCCGTGCTCTTTGTGCTTTCCGGTAGGCCGCCGCCGCAAATCGGAGTCACGCGTGAAGACAAAGACAACCGGTATACCTTACGGTGGGATTACGAATACGTAACCGGGAACACACGGGGCCAATAAAACTGTGACGGTACACAAGATCCGGGGTCCCGGGAACCCTCCTTCGTAGTTACTCTTCGCCCGTTACCCCTCACGCGCGCGATACCAAATCGTTTACGACGCTCCTCGACGACCCCGAGGAAAGAAGCGCCGTTTTGCCGTCGTTTTTACGGACCGGCACGTCCTAACTTTCGTCCAATTACCAATTTTGCCAATCGTCTCGCCAAAATTTCCGCCTGGCAGCTACGCGCGCACGTCACGTCGTGTCTGACGATCCGAATCGCTGGCCGAATCGGCGCGACTTGCAGTACAGTAAGAGATCGATAATGTTCGCATTCTCATTACTTCACGCCGCCATCATGCGCCTCTCGTGGCCCTCGGCCCCTTAACCTTTTGCGTCGCGCGTGTCCCTCGGAAAAAATCCTCCCTGGAGGAGAGACGCAACTTGGAGACGGCGTTTTAAGCGCTCCTATCTCGTCGGAAATAGCTCGAGAATGGCGACTTCGAATACTCCTGGCGTAAGAATGTTTTCGCTAAGATTGTTTGTCCTTTGTGCGCGCTGGGTTTTTCAAGCACTGTTTCAACAATACGACTTTGACGCGGAGGCAAAGGGACGCGCGCAAAATCCTTCGGGAAATTACACGACCAACAGAAGCAGTCGTTACGTCATTATTAGATAAAGTTATACGAAAGTCGCGAGTTCTGTCAGTACAAATACCAAGACCCGAAGACACTGTGCACCGTATCTATCTATTCGCTGCTTTTATCCATCAGAAACGCGGAAGTACATCGATCCACGGGGCCACTGATTGACTTTCATAAACATAAATTATAAATTAACGTGATGGTTCGTGGGAGAGAGGAAGAACCGGACCTTACCATACGATTCCGATGATTAATTCATGATTATCAAACGTCTGGAGACCGAATCTCGAGCATCCGTGACGCGATTCGTTATCGACATAGACCAATAAAAGCTAAGAGAATGTTTTACACGAGAGTCGCGTGTCTTACATGCGTTGTAATTCACAATGTTTTCGCGGCTCACATCAATATGCCATCCTCCACCGACAAACATTGTGCGCATTAGGCGTGTCAGCTAAACCAATTTCGCGTGCGAGAATTTCGCAAGTGAAGAGACATACACGCACGCACGCACGCACGCACGCACGCACGCACGCACACACATATCGTGAATCGTTGCTCCCATAGTTGCTTCCCCTCGCGATACACACCGCGATAAGTCGTATCTTGCGTCACCTGGAAGACGGTAACCGATCTCGTTCGTTCGTTCGAGAGAGAGAAAGATACGAATCCGACCCGACGCAGCGTCAGCGCGTCATCGAGAAGGGCCCTTTCCATGTATAAACCCTTTGTGCTCGTTTCCTTCTTATGGGCAAACACGCGGCATCAGTCGACGAATTTCTCTTTCCCAATTCCCGTTCGAGTTCATCGGTCGTCTGTCAAGTCTAATGCTTTCGTTCAGCCCGATAACGCTGGATTTTCGAGGCCCAACGTCGTTATCTAACCGCTCCTGTACTTCCGGCGTAAATTTTTGTTTCTAAATTATATCTTCCTGTGAATAATCTTCAAACGAAGCTCACAAAACTTCCATCTTTCATGAATTGAGTAATTTCCCGGATTTTTTGTTTACTGCGTATTCTTTTGTTGTGAAAACTATATACGTTTTGTCATGAGATGGCGCTTTTTAATTATATTCGAGGTTCACTTTTTAAACGACGCTATGAGAGCTACTCGTAAAAGGTATAAATGGTTTTCACGTCTACGTTTGTACTGGAATATAATTGAAAAGGATCGTACGATTGCCCGATGTAAAAGAGGAGACGTGGCCATTATACGACGGCTATGCCGGGAAAATTTAGTTCACGATATAGAAAATAATTTAAAACATAATTCTCTCTCTCAATATATCATGTAGACTATCTGAAATACACTTACGCATTGTACAAAATGAATGCAAAGTTTCTTTTGTAACGTTGAATATTTCTATTCATCGAACAACGAACGTATGTATGATTCGTAAGGAAATATAATAAATTAAGGCATTATGTATTACGCAATTCGAGAGCATTCGCAATTGTCACATTTCTCACGATAAAAGCGACGCGAAAAGCGATATGAATACTGATTCGGCATTTTCTGCGACATTTCTCGTGGCAAACAGGTTAACTATCCGAATTCGGGGTCAAAATTAGTGACTGTCCCTGGGCGTTCATCGATCGTTTTCGCAGAATCGTGACAGGAAAGTTTTTCACAAACCTACATTTCCGGTGTCACGTGCGACCGAAACAACGTTACTCGCTCGAGTGCATTTTCTTTGAGTGCAAATCGCCTGGCGGGCTACCGAATTTTTTTCTTTTTTCGGAAACTTTCTACCCGGCTTGCGCCAGCGCAACTTCATTTTTCCCGCAATTTCGCTGTCATTCCGTCACTGCGTCTACGTCGTTTACATCGCGAATCGCGTGCCTCGCTTAAAAAAATCGCGAGTTGCTTCGAAAAGAAATAAAAAATAAACATCGGCGCGCACAATGGAATCGTGGCTAATGGTCGCTTAATAAATTTATTATCATCGGAAACTATTTCAAATATGGGCACAGTTGGAAAATTATCTGGGTTAAAAGCGCATCGTGCGCGATTACGTAACGTTGCAAAGAACCATTAACCGTATGCGGAAACTGCAGCTTTCGCGATCGACCATATGCGATCGCTCGAAGGCACAGGTCGCGGTAACTGATATACCCAAGCTATCACGAAATCTCGTTGAGTCAAGTAATATACCGACTAAATTTATAATCGGTAAAGTTTTTCGGAGTCATTTAAGTTTGTTGGAAAATGATGTAGAACATGCACATTTTAGTCTGTGCTTTCTCGGTTATATAAATATATAATAAAAGGCTTTCGAATCTATCCGAAATATTCATATAAACATTTGCGACGAGAACATAGAGATGAATTAACAAAAAAAAAAGGGAAAAGTCGGAAAAGAATAATTAGACGTGTAGCTAATTTTTGTAATGCATTTTGCATTAAATACTTGATTCAAATGTAACATCAATCTTACTCTAGAATGATAATTATCCACCGTTAATATTACTCCGTTCTATGATCGGGTTAATTCATCTTTGTGCAGTCCGATTTTAGTTCAAATATTGATAAGGATACTCCGGATAAGTATCATACATGATATATACACTAGTGTTTCGATTATCCAACCCTGTTATTTGACATTCCTGTTCGTCCGATATATTTACATGGGAAAAACATGCGAGAGCTACCATTTTCTTATTTTGTAAATAATTTATGTTGACATCATATCGAATATTTCCACGGACCAATAAAGTATTATTATTATATACATTCACGTACCTATAACTAAATAAAAAAATGTATGCGTATCATATTAAAAAATAAACCGATCTTTCTTTCTTTCTCTCTCTCTCTCTTTAAAAAGAACTAAAAGAATTGGTCGTTATGGAAAATTTCTCTTATAACGCAAAGATACTGTATTGATAAACCAGATTTCGATCTAAATTCTCGTTCAATTCATGTCACTTCGCATTTCTGTATGATAACCGACGTTTTCATTTATCCGAACATCTGTCGATCACGTTTAGGTCGAATAATCGGAACTCTAGTGTGTTTCCAAAATCTATGGTCGATAGTGTCAATGATTACATGCGTTGTCGCAACCGATGGTGTCCATATGCTACGCATTCCTTTCGAAATTTGAAACTGTCGACCAGCTTAGAGATATATTTCGCATTTGTAAGCCTTGGTCTAACCAAAGGGACTATACTTGAGTCGAATTTCCATTGGCATTTAAAAAGAAATTCTGCAGAACTTGAAGAATCAGCAGAGAATTTCGGGATATAATATTATACAAGATTATTGTTCTACCTTGATATTACGAGTGTTTACTTATTGCTTTTCTCGCTATTTTGAAGCTTAAGTATTAATATAACATACGTACAATATATGTTATGTATTCTTCATTCATAATATTTATTTACTCTATATTCATACATTATTTGTTTTTGTGCATCAATGTTGAAAATCTCAATTTGAAAATTTGAAAGAAACGAAATAAACATATAAGGTCAAAGATTAGGTAGTTGTGTCTAACAATGCGCAAACGGAGACAAATTTCAATTCGGTACATACAAGATGAAAGATATGGAAAAAAGACTTAAATAGGAGTCACAGAAGTCGTAAAAGCATTTGTAGACACAAAACAAAAGAAATACGAATACGTAGTAAATTCTATAAATTCGACTCAGGCACAAGCAGCTTTGTGCGTTTCCACCATCTCGACCGATCCGTAGGTAGGTAGGCTCGTTCCAACAAACCGTGGCCTGAGGCCCAAGCATAAAAACCTTCCTCCCTCACCCTCTCCCATCGTCCCCTCCACTTTCGACCCGAAGCCGGTGCACTAACACGCGAGCGCATAGCGCTCACGCATGCGCAGTAATCTCAAATTTAAACACCGACGAACACGGACACCTCGTCGACGAACGCACGTAACCTCGAGAAAGATATCTTCCACTCACCGAGAGTTCCGTAGAGCAGCACGCAGGTTACGAAGAACGTCAGCCGGAGAAGCGGTCGGGGCCTCGCCCCGGCCCGTGCAGCACATTCTCCCATCATCGTCGACGGTCCCCGACGACGATAACGACGACGATCGCCGTACCTCCTCCCCTACCTGCTCTCTCTTCTTATGGCGATTCTGGTCTCCACAAACCGCTTCTTCTCGGGTCAGCGCGCGCGAACCACGCTGTGTACGCGTACCGTCTCCTTCCTCCTCTCTGCCGCGTCGACGTTTCACTCGCGTCTCACGATCAGTTTCAACGGTCACTATACACCACCTGCACCTCTCATCCTGTCCCGATCTGCCGATCTCACGCGAAGAAGCGAATCAGAACGCCGCACGACACGCTCGCGTATGAATCGTATTCGCCGACGACGCGCGCCGATTCTTCACGTCGGAACGTCCGCGGGAAAGATCGGAACGATATCTCAAGACCGACGCCGTGCAAACGCGACTACCAGACTGAACGCCACAGAAACACGAAACGTTCGCTTTGCCCTACCCGCTCGCTCGCTCGCTCGCTCACTCACTCGCTTGCCGCGCGTCCTTCCCCCACGCTCTCCAGTGCCACTCTGTCCGCGTCGTGCCGCAGGCCGCGCCACCAACCCCTCACCGGCGTACAAACACTGATGTTCCCCACCACATCGCTGCTACTTGTTGATCTTGGCTCAGGGACGAACGAACGCACGGCGCACCCGCGTCTCGTTCTTGACCTGGGAAAGGAAACGTGTCCATCATATTTTTGCACCGAACTAGGTTAGATGGGGATGTGTCTTCGTGATTTTCCAGGCGCTCACGACGGTGTGATAAGAATAAATTACGAAGAGAAATTGCGTTTTATCGTCTTAAATGAGCGACGAATGCAGCGGGAGTGAGAAAATTATTTCCTGTGAAAATATTTACATGTTTAGGAAGATGGAACTAACACAGATGGTGATTAATTTTAAAAGTATATGTAATATTCGTAATATTACTCATTTCGATATTAATAATCACTATTTTCATAATGGGTGATTCACTTGTGCGATAAACGCTATCGTGGATAACAATTATAATATATTATCGTATTTGTCTAGAGGAGGGGGGGGGAGGGGAATGGGTATAATTTGATCTTTTCGATTCACAGCGATATGCATATATCCATAAATTCTATTATGTGTTTAAAAATCGCATGAGTAAGCAACGATTTTGTAAAGACTCGGAAGGTAAACAGCCAATAAAGGTGAATATACACTGGACGAACAGTAAATGAACGTAATATGAATGTGTATTTGCGAATGTGTAATATGAATGTATATTCGCGTTTAAATGCGCGCGAATTTTCTTTGATAAATCAGCCCGAAACGTTCTATTCGGATTCGTTATGGTGTATACCTTTTCCAAATTACAACACAACGAAAGTTTGTACTCGTTGTTAGTTCCTTGGTCGTTCGCTCAGTATATACCCAGCTTAAGAAAGATTGGTTGGTAAGAGCTCTGTCGTTGGACGTTGGCGCGATAATTCAAATCTAGCGGCAAGGAGATACAACTGTTGTCCGACAGTGTAACCTGCGCGGCAGCATTTATTTCCAAGCTTTAAACGTAGAACTCAGAATATTGCACAATAAACATCTACCATTCGAACTTGCTCTTTATCCTGCAAACAATTTATTGGATGAATAGTTCATTTTTATGTATTCCAAACTGTATTCTCTTTTGAAATGCGAATCACATATTATTCAGTTTTAATAAATGCGCAAATACTGCGTATACGTGCGTATCTCATTTCTAGATATTGAAAATATCGTAACGCACGTGTGTTCAATGTATCGCTCGCAATTAAAATCCTCTTTCACAATTTGTTAACACGTAATTACTCTAATTATAAGAGATGAAAAATATATCCACCTCGATAAGCACCTACGTATTTCAACAGCGTCGTGTGGAAATGCCAGAATTTACGTGCTCAATGTCATCCGGATTATTTTGTATGCACGAAGCTCCCGTAAAGCTCGCGCGACGCGCAAAGCTAAGACTCGTGTTATACTTTTCGACAGATAGGAATTTTTCAGCCAGTATAAAAAACGGAATAAATTCCCCGAGAAAGTGATTAAACATCCATTTCCGTCGGTCGTGAAAAACATCGCGCTAATAACCGAAACACATCAAAGGGAAGTATGTTATTAAAAATATCCGACGATCTACTTGTTTATCATGAGTAATGTATTATTAATTTCAATTCAACAGAATGAGGAGAGTTATTTTAATAATAATATTAATAAGACAATACTATCTTTACATCATATTTGTCACACACATACACACACACACACACACACACACACGAATATCAATGAACTCGTGCACGCACGTGTCTAATTTGACTGCCATTATCACGGGAAACGTATCATCGTTATTACTCCTTCACTCACTATCTCGATACATCGACACATTGAGAGAAGGAGAGACAGTAGAGCGTCTCAATGATCGCACAATTGCACCACGTTGCTCGCGGGCCAATTCGTGACTCGTATCGAGACATATCCCGGAATCTCAATTATAGACAGAGCCCTTACGGAGCGCAATATACCGCAGATTCAACAGTCGTTATAATCCGCGAGACTCGCAACTGTAGGAGACACACGTGTCTATTACGAAAATTATGTATGAAACATGGGACTGCGAGAGACGTGCAAATATTAAACGGTTGTAAATAGAAGGATAAGTTTAATCAAGATAATTTGTGGTAGTTATGTATACGTATATATATATATATATATATATATGTGAACGCGAGAGATTTTCCAGAGATAAAAATAATAATCCACAGTTGTGCATATACGGGGTAATGAATATCACAATAATTAATAGGCAAATAGCGTTTGTATTCATATTTATCTTGGAAAATATTATATAATATTATCGGTAATCGTACGCTGATCCGCTCCAAATTACGCTCCAGGTTACGCGATACGAATGCACGAGGTGCATCTTTTCGCATTTCGCTAATGGGTTATCTCAACGTTAATTGCGACCAACGCTTGACGCCACAGGTAGTTCAATTAAGAAGAACTATCTCCTTCGACCTAAAGTAGCCGGGCCCATTAAGCCGGTCGCGTAAAATCCTTTTCGATTTGATCAGGAAAGTTGACGTGCGAGCGCGCTCGCGCACGTTCATTAGCAATATGCGACGACTTCGTTGGTGTTCACCGTTAAGAAGACACAGACATTGTCGCGACGCTAATGACCCGGACGGTCGTGGTCGTTCGGTGTCGCATACAGTGCACGTTTACGTGCTACGAATTACCGTAATTATCGCGGTTTTCTACCGAATTAGAGGTTCACCCGGTACTTGCGTTCCTTTTCCTCTTTCTTCCCTCTCCCCCTCCCCTCTCTCTCTCTCTCTTCTCGTTATCTCTTTTTCGTTCTGTCGCGAGGGACAGCAGAGGAAACGGGAAACGCAGTTGACCCTGAGGTCACTCCGCGAAATTCAATTCCGTGCGTTTTCTCGTCTCGACCAGGTCGCTCGGTGCAGCGTCCCTGCCAATTAAACTTCTCAACAATCCGTTCGCGATCAATTAGACGAGCGACGACCGGTCGGTTCGAGCGAATAATTTCCCGGAGCGTGCACAACGTCCAGGAGCATTGTAACGAAATTGGAAGATTCTGACGAGCCCTCAATTCGTCCGAGCGATTTTCCACCACGCGTATTCCCCCTAAGAAACGACGACGCGACCCGACGCCCCGCGTGGGCCGATAGAACAACCGCACTCCCACAATGTCATATTACGCAATTGACCCTTGTAATCGTCTCGAATCTCGGAGCCCGCGATCATTTGAATCTCCTTGTACGCAGAGAGGAGCGTAATAGAATTTCTCGGCGCCCTAAATCGGATTCATTAAAAGTGATGTTCGCGGGAGGGTGCCTCGGACGGGACAGCCGCGCTTCGGACGCAGTTGGTGGCAGATAAGACGAATTATTTCATCACGATGAGTTAAGATTCGTCCGAAAATTGCCGAACAAATTTCCCGGTTGGCCGGGCGAATTACACGATACAGTCGATACGGTCGAATCTATTTTAGCGCGGATTACGAACGTATTCGTTGGCAAGTACAAGGCGAGTTATTTGATAACGAACGCGCGAACAAATTTTGACAAAATATCGTGCCGGCGGGCAAATATAGCGCCGTGAAACGTGACGGCGAAACGAATCACATAATCGAGTCAACACGAGCGAATCTATTTTTGCGCGCTCGATTGCATTAGTCGATGAGCAAACAGGCTGATTTGTAACGGTATTTTAGCAACGTCGCGATATTACGCGGGGCATTAATCATAATTGTAACAATGAAACCTGTTGTTGGTCGTTCAGAGCTCTTAATAATCGTACGGTGCTCATTGTGCTTACAGCGCGCCGCCGCTCGTCGACCGCACATGTCACGTTAATTATTCTTTAGAATACCTGCCTTCATTCGATCCGGCATATTGTTTCGTTCAATCACATCTTTCGCGTGTTTGCGATATCAATGTAAAGAGCAATTAATAATGTATGAATTATTGTTTCGCGCCTCGCGTAATAAAACAACTACAAAACAGCTATAACGCTTGCGCAATATCCGCACGTTATTTATTAAATATGCATATGACGACGTTAGTTCGAAACCTTTCTTTCATAAATGCGAATAGAATTTTCGCGGCCATTGGCGAAATCGAACGTCGCGCGCCGTAGAAGCACCATTACGCGAAGCTTAGGACTGCCTTATCTTATCGAGTGTTTTCCGAGGAATTTCTTCTTTTTTCCCTCCTCTTCTTTCTTTTTTTCACCTTCTTTTTAAGGAATTCCTACCTGTTGCAGCGACTATGTATCTATGAGAGAAATGCACTGTCACACGAAACTACGCGGCTTAAAAATACACGATATAAACGAAAAACGAGTCTTCAATGTTCGAGCGATGAACTTGAATACAAACATGTGTTGTTTATATCCCGTAGAGCCGCCCTGTTTACCTCTTTCCTTTTTTTCCAGACGGTCAAACCGCGAACAACCCGCGAAACCCGATTGTCCGCGAGTCGGAAAACTTGCGGATGGCTCTCATTAATAAAAGAAACGCGTATTTTCGGGCAACGGGAGGGACAGAGGGAGGAAACGAGGTAGAATTAGCGGATCGTGCGCGCGCGAGCGTGCACACCCACACGAGCGTGTATAACGCAGTAGTTCCTCCGCCGGGCGGTGGCAAGTAACAGCCTTGAATTTCGCGTTAAATAGAACGTACGGTGCGGCGAATCGTGGTATCTCGTTTTCGCGCCTGCTAATTGCCGCATTCTCGCGAAATTATAATTAATTCTATTTAACAATCCGTTAAATCATCGTCGCGCATACGAATGTAAATGGCGAGACGCGCGCGCGTACGTGCTTGTATGTCCGCGCGCCGTGTCGACCGTAGGTCTCGTTCGAGACAAACTTGCTACACCTGTGCAATCGAAAAATAAAAAGATAACGAACAAGAGAGAGAGAGAGGGAGGAAAGTACGCGTCGATGTCGGAGATTGCCGGGAAGCTGCGGTGA